TCTGAAATATCCCTCACAAAAACCAAAGCACACATACAGGGTATATTATGGAAGCTTGTTTCTGCCATGAGATGAAAAAAAAGTAATCTCACAATTCTGAAAAAAAAACAGGCAGAATTGTGAGACACAAAGCTAGAACTGTGAGATATAAACTTTGCAATTAGTAGGAAAAAAGTCAGAATTATGAGATAAAAAGTAGCAATTACCTTTTTTCATTTTTTATTCCGTGGTGGAAAAAAAATTTTAATTGCAAGAACTCAGAATTCAGAGAAAAAACATCAGAATTATGAGATATAAACTCAGAACTGAGAAATATAAATTCAGAATTCTGAGGAAAAAAGTCTGAATTGTGAGATAAAAACTCGCAATTAACTTTTTCATATTTTTTTATCCCATGGCAGAGATAAGCTTCCATACTTTATCCATGGCAGTCCTCTGCAAATCCATCTTGTCGCCCTGTTTTCTTTATAACATGCCATTAAATCACGCCTCTGGAAGTTATTAGCACGATTTTCACCCACAACAAACAACTGTAATGTGCTAATGTGCTTTGTTTTAACAGATTCATGCGCACTTAACAATAAAATACTGACTTGCTACTAGGCCTGGGTGATAAAACGGTATCGATATTTATCGACGGTACACCTTCTTCGATATCGATAGAAAAATTGTTCGATATAGTGCAGGATATAGGCACGTGCTATGAGTGACGCAGACAGCACACACGAACACATGCTGAAATGAGTGCTGTGCCTGCCTGTGATGAGGAGATTGTGAATAAAGAATGAATATTAGTCGAATTTAAAATAAACATTTGCATTTGAATGTTAGGAGTGCGTCTGGAAGCGTCATCAGTGGCGCGCGACATGCGGTGATAATGATGTAAGCGACATTGTTGCATTTTAATGTTTTGTTAGTCTAGCCCACGAGACGCGCCGCTGCTGCGTTATTCATTCAAAATATTAGAGAAATATAGAAGCTCAATGCGGAGAAGATCTTGAATGGGTTAAAACCGAAAACCAAGCCATTCACACAGAATGCATACTCGCATACATTTTTTAGACGGACAAATATGACTGCTGCACTCACGTCTCACAGAAGAGATGTATTGCAATTTACAAAATTATATTTGATTTTTATGAGTAATGAGTAATGAGTAATTTAGACGTAATGCACGTTTTTATAGAGTTACTTCCTTGCGCTGACAATTTAAATGCGCTGCATTATTTTGCTCATTGCGCCCTCAGGAGACAATTAGACCTATACAATAAAGACCTATTTAATCTACATATAAAACATTAGAAATTAGATATTTGTTTAATTTTTATTGTGTTTGATTTGTCTCAATAAATTGTTAATTATAAATACAGTGGTTAAAAAAAAAAAAAAAATGTTTTAAAAAAGGTTCCAAAAAAATGTCAATAATTATCGATACCGAACGATATGAAACATTATATCGTTGACACATTTTTTTGCTATATCGCCCAGCCCTACTTGCTACTTTATCATATGCACAGCACATTTAGTCTTAGTTTCCACATGCAACAGATGAGTTGGCAGTATCTTATGACATTTACACCTGCAAACATAAAACTCATATAATAACATGCAAAATATACATTACTATTTGTGACCCTGTCTGTGAAACCCAGGCTAAAGTCTCAAAAATCTAATTATGAGAGAACAAGCATCAAAGTTTGATTTCAACCATTAATTTCACTATGATTTCAATCTTTGACATGGCCTTACTCACTCAATATTAAAGATATAAAGGTTATATTTTCACAGAATGTTCTACATCTTTATGAAGGATGATTTTATGTAGAAAACAGTAAATCACAAAAAATTACTTTAGCTGGGTTTTCACAGGCAGGGTCACATTTGCTTTTGTTCCTTTTTTGTAAGACGCTTTGGATAAAAGCAGCCGCTAATTGCATAAATGTAAAACATTTGTCGTTTATCAGATGCTTTTATCCAATATATCATATTAAAACATTTAATGATGATAAAACTTCCAATGCAAATCATTCTGGTGGATCTGGTCTGATGGCGCATTAAACAAAATAAAATAATAATTACACCCTAAAAAGCTTGTTTTATTATAGTATTTTGGGAGGGGGGAATCCAGTGAAACCAGTGAAAATGAGATTTTGCACAACGACTTGCTCTGAAAAGATGTCCTTATGCATAAAATAGAGCAGAAAAGGATGAACAACCATCTAAAAACTTGCACAGAATACAGAAGGTCCTTTCAGAAAGAGATGACTGTAGCTGGGTTTCCATCACCCTGCTTGTATGCGCATTTTGAAGTATTGCATCAGAATCGAGTGATGGAAAAGCTGAATTAATTCACAAAAAAGTTTTCACGCTCGCTTGAGGTGGTTTTTGACTTGTTGCGAAAAATGGTTAATGCAAATAATGGGAGATGGAAAAGCATTTTGCGGATAAATTCCTCCAAGCGCATCAAAAATTTCATGTGATTTTGCGCTATGGGACGGCAAATCCTGACTAACCAGCGGACCGATCTTGTTCCACAGCATCTGAAATGTTGTTATATGGTCATTCGGAAATGCCCAAGCAAAGTCTGTCATCAAAGTATTTCTGTATAATTGCCTCCCAGAACTGTTAAACAGCTGCGTTCCCAAACAGCAGCATCCATCTCCGAAAGCAATAACTGCATTCATTGTGTTTCGTCTGCTCGTTCTGAGGGGCAAGTAATTTATTATATATGAAAATTATTATATTCAGTAGCTTCTCCTACTTTTCTTAGTGATGATGATTTTGTTCGCTCTGACTCGTTGGAAGGAAACAGTGCTTGTTCGCAAATGTTTTACATGATATTCCAATTTTGCGCACAAGTTAAATTCGCAACTTTGGATGGAAACCCGGCTTGTGATTTCAGAGCAGACTGTGAGTAGCTCTTACTCATGAGATGAGAAGGCACTTGCTCGTTAATAGTCTGGAAAATGATCTGGTCACAAGCAGATTAATTCCAGTCCTTCCATCTGGAGATCATAATGCTTGATTATTCAGCAGCAGACAGCGAGAAAACTACTAATCTGAAATGAAATGTCAAAAGCAGCAGTAAGAGGGGACCTAGACTAATCAGAACAAAAACTGTAACGAATCAAATTCATCTGAAGAGATTACATTGTATTTTTCTATTACCATTTGGGGGAAAAAAATCAACAAGCGTGACAAAAGGTGAAGGATAATTTGAGACAGAACTTCAATGAATGTTCTCTGAAAGTAGCTGACCTTTGGATGAATGTCTTGCTATAATCTGGTAACTTTGGTATGATATCAATTCGGCCTGACTCTCTACTGATGACGTACAATTTGCATGCTCACACTTAAAGGAATAGTTCACCCATAAATTAAAATTTGCTGAAAATTTACTCACATTTAGTCCATCCAAGATGAGTTTGTTTCTTAATGGGAACAGATTTGGAGAAATGTAGCATTGCATCACTTGCTCAGCAATGGATCCTCTGCAGTGAATGGGTGCCGTCAGAATGAAAGTCCAAACAGCTGATAAAAACATCACAATAATCCACACCACTCCATCAATTAATGTCTTGAGAAGCGTCAAGTCGTGTGTTAGTAAGAAACAAATCCATCATTAAGATGTTTATAACTTCAAATCGTCGCTTCCGGCTAAAATATACTACATAGAGTCCTCTATCTAAAATACTGCTTTCTTCAGTGAAAAAGTCATCTTGTCTGAATCAGGAGAGAAATCTGCACAGATCAAGCACCGTTTACAAGCCAAAACAGTTCAAAACAACAAATACGTTGGTGGATTTTGATGTGAGAGGCCAACTGGAGATGGATTTTTCACTGGAGGAAGCGTTATTATGGATTATGGACTAATATTTTAACCAGAAGCAACAGGTTAAAGTGAAAAACACTTTAATGATGGATTTGTTTCAAACAAACATGCAGCTTTTCACTTCACAAGACATTAACTGATGGACTGGAGTGGTGTGGATTACTTGTGGATTATTGTGATATTTTTATCAGCTGTTTTGGCTCTCATTCTGACGGCACCCATTCACTGCAGAGCATTCATTGCTGAGCAAGAGATCCAATGCTACATTTCTCCAAATTTGATGAAGAAACAAACTCCTCTACATCTTGGATGGCCTGAGGGTGATGATGGCTGGGATCAGAAAGCTAAACCTACTAAAACAAGTCTCTTTTGTGTAAATCTGAATGCAATCAGTGTCTGTTTCTAAGAGGCACCAAATGGTGTGATCTTTCTTCAACATTCACCCTCATCCAGGCATCTTCCACTAAATTCATTAGCTTTCTAATGGAAAAGAACAGTGTTTAACATTACGACCTTTGGCAGAAACACTCCAAAGAGGCCAGACAATATAGGAACAATAACATGAAGGATCCCGTCTGAGAACAGAGGTGTGATTTGGCTCTTGGACTGAAGCTTGTTCGCTAACTCATTAGACTCCTTTACAGGGATGCTGGAGGCAGGATGGTTTCAGTCAGTAGCAGAGCCAGCGTGTTCATTTTCTAGATGATTTTCCATCTCCATAGGCCAGTTTGTAGGTTGCCCAAAAAGGTGTTTAGAACATGCAGTCATAATGAAAACGGCATTGCTTCAAATGTGATGCTGGAAACTTGTGAGCCCAGATGAGAAAACAACATGTCCTCTACAATGGTTGCATAAGTGCATGGCATAATAGTACGATTTACAGGCTCATGCATTCAATATGTTTAGTAATTTTCAATTTTTACACCTAATAAACACTACAATCCAATAGTTGCAACACAGTTGGGACGAATCAAACTAAACGGACAGAAACAGACAAAAGAAAACAAGCTCTTGGAGGTCCTGGCCCGGCATTGCTCATCAATAAGTGACTCTCTTTCGCAATTCTGTCCACAAAGACAGCTGGATCCATGGCTAGCGATGTCCAAATATAATCTAAAGCAGCTATGAACCACATCTGATTTGATTTTGACATTAAATTCAGAGATGCTGTAGAGAAAACCATGACTTAAATATTGCACGTGTTTGCTTTCCAAAACAGGGCCGTTCAAAGACTGTTTACAGGCTCTAGAGGAAGGCCACGCCAACAGCGGCATGTATCTGGTGAAGCCAGAAAATACCAACAAACTGATGCAGGTCTGGTGTGACCAGAGACACGACCCCGGCGGCTGGACCGTCGTACAGCGACGGATGGACGGATCGGTCAACTTCTTCCGAAACTGGGAGACGTACAAGGTCAGAAAGAAGTTTACTTTCAGATTTTGAGGATGAAATAACTTTAATGTGTGAAGATGCATAACATGTTTTTAAACAAATATTCTTGGTTTAGTACAAGTTAAACTCTACCAATAGCATCTCTAAGTCAAGTCACAATTATTTCTATAATGCTTTATATGTTACAGATTGTTTCAAAGCAGTTTCACATTATTGAACTGCAAAACAACAGTGCTAATGTTGGAAAGTTATTCAATTATGAAATAAATTTCAGCTGTAAAGCAGCACAAAAAAAGCAGGTGCCATTATTCAGCTCAATTTAGTTCAATGTTGATTCAAGTGCAAAGGTTGCAAAAATTAATTAGTTATGAAATCAAATTTACTGTAGTTCAACTATAAAGAAGCTCTACAGAAGAAAATAGTGTCATGATTCAGTTCAGTGTTGAGTCAATTCTAACATATTGTTGATTTCCACATAAAATCATTTCGAAACATCCCTTAATATTAACGTCAACCAAACAACGAAAAAAAAAATGGTATAGAAGCAATTTTTTTCTCATTGCTAGTGAATTTCACAATGGCAAGTAACAATTTTTAAGTAGAATTTTTTTTCTTGTAAAACATACTGTAATAATCTTTTTTACAACTTCAAAAAAAATTTTTTTTACACAGTGTAATAAATAGGGGTGTGACAACATCTCGAGCCACAAGATTCCTTGATATTAAAACATGATGATATTTTTTATTGAGGTGAATATCAGTCTCATGATATCAGCACAATTGAAAATGAAATAATGAAATAATGATTTTATATAATAGTTCAATAAACAAGAAGTTAATATTGTGTTTAATTTGCTCTATTTCGCAAATGAATTCGTTCCAACCAAAGCCACCAGGACCGTTGTGTTTCCGAGCAACACACTTTACTAAATGAATCTGCAGTTTTGAACGCAAAACTGTAGAACTGAAGTGACATTCATAACAAGATGATTAGTTGAAACATTTCAAAATGCACTTTTTTGTGATTTCTTAAAAATAGTGTAAATATCGTCTTGTCTTGCTCTTGTGAACCCAAAAATTGTGTATTGTCTCATCTCGTGAGCTAAGTGTCTCGTCACACCCCTAGTGTAAGTCTATGGGGAATATATCATGCAAATGAAGATATTATTATAATGAGGTCATGCAAACATCATCGTTCAGCACTGATAAAACTGAATGCAATGCTTCAGATCTCCATCACTGGATAACAGCAGGAACTCCCCTAGAACTTCCCTTAGACATAGTTAATTAAAGTAATGAGACACACATTGTTCTGAAACCCTGCCGTCCGTGCATGGAGAGACTTCCATGAATAAATGTCTTAACCAGTCAGTCTCACAGCATACTGCAGCTTTTTGCGATTTCTGAAATCATCCAGAACATCACTTTAAAACGTCAAAGGAATTTGGTTATGCAAGATGGGCAAGGTTTTCAAACAAGGGCCAGGGCTTTTCCCACAAAAACACTGTCTGACGGAAACACTGTTTATGTCATCGGTGCCCAGAACTAAAATCAGGACCAGAAGAGCCAATGTGAAGGGAATGTCCTAATAACTATATCCACTCAACTGCTCTGGAAGCATTTTGAAAAGCACTAAAATGACACTGAATGAAATAATTTATTATATAATGACTGTTTTTTATATGCAAACCATTTATACCTTTATAAAGGTATCCATTACATACAGTGGGTACGGAAAGTATTCAGACCCCCTTAAAT